ATAACTCCCCCCCCCCCCCCCCCAATATTCAGGTGCAAACACAACCTCTCCAGAGAACAAAACTATATCCAAGATCCAGTGAGAGCACAATTCCAGAACTTAAACGTGAGAGGAACAAAAATTTGCTCAACTATCAGCAACAAGAAGAAGAAAAAATGACACAATCAAAAAGGAGCCCATCAGGAGCAAGCGTGAAGAGGAACAAAAGTTTGCATCAAGTTTGAAAAAACCAACCAAGACATTCTTTAAAGGACTGATATTTGGTAGAACTGCAGAAGACTTTTAGGCCGAAAACTGTATAGATTCATAATTCAACTCAGACACTTGGTTGTTTGATTCAATTTGTATCTAGACATTCTACATAGTTGCCAAAAACAGAAACTTGTCTTGGCATTACATTTTTATTCCTGGTTTTATATTGTTCTTTCTCTCTATACAACTAATTACTGAGTTAAAATCATGTAAAATTCATGAAGATCCAAGTAAGATAAATGAAACTATCAATAAACTGAAACTTTTAAGACAAAAACGTACTCATGTCAAAACATTCATCAATTCTTCATAGTACAAAATCATAAACAACTAGAAATTACTTGAGATAAACTCAACAAGGTGTTGTAAGATCAAACACAACTATACCAAAACCCTAATCTTGATAATTACAATTCTGAGAAGGCACCTACACAGAATCGCTTCAAGTAAGATGTTAAAGTAAAGGAAGAGGAACAAGAGCAAAACAGAGGACTCCTCGGCACCTGAAAGACCAAAGACTAATGCTGTCTCCATCTTTCAACCCATTGGCCTTCACGACATCGTTCCAACCACAAACCAAAGCGTAGTTCCAAGAACCGTTCATCTCCCATCTCTTGAGAAACACACCCCACTTCCTACTGCCTTGATCAACAAGAACCGCTCCCACACCCATCTTCTCGTTGTTGTTGATGTCTTCCTCGATGATTCTCGTCTCAACTGGTGTCAAGAAGTCGTTACGGACCAGTTTTTGGAAAGGGATAGAGAGACGGCTCTGGCTTGGTTTGACATCTGTTTCGAAGAGAGTCTTCTCAAAGATTAGCATCGGGTCTTGCGCTCCTTTCATGCTTCTCATTAACTGCACAATCCAATCCGGAGTATCTTTCCCCTCCCATGATGAGAATAGAGGTGAGACCTTTGGTTTCTTGAAACTACGTTTTTTTCCTTCTTGCAGGGCACGTCTCTTGCGGCTTGTGTTGTTGTTTTCTGTTAGGCACGAAGAGGAAGAAGATGATAGGGAAGAACTAGGGTTTTGTGGGTTTGTCTTCTCTGTGGGAATCTTGTTAAGATCGAAGAGCAGAGAAGAAGAAGAAGTAGAAGCACCAATGATAAGGTTTTGAAGAGGTTTCTTTACCGATGATGATCTTGGCTTTCTTGGGAAGTGAAAGAAGATTCTCTGTTCGTCTTCTTGTTTCCAAGAAACTGTCTTCTTCTCCGTTGTTCGCTTGCGTTGTTGTTCGTACAAAAGAACCGCTTTATCCACCAAAAGAGAGAAATTCGACCATGTCTCCGTGAGATCACCGTAATACATCATACTCATTGTGATCGGAGGGAGATACGCACAGCAAAAAAAAAATATCAAGTTTTGAGGAAACTAGAGAGAGAGAGAGAGAGAGAGAGAGAGAGAGAGAGAGAGAGTTATAGAATTGTGTGAATGAGAAGAGAAAGTGAGAGGAAGAATGGTTTGGGTTTGCACTATATACTATCTGGTGCCTCGTTGTTGCAATCAAACCCTACGATCGTCATCAGATATTATAGCCGTTTGTTCAGTTTTCCTTTTTCACTAGCTCACGTGCAAATTACCGTTAAGTCCCTATTTCCGTAATTTCCATTTTTGACCGTCGTGAAAACAATCCCAAGTAGATTGGTTATGTACGTGTTGATAACTTGAGGTTTTTGCTTTTGCAGAAGAAAAGATCCGATGTGGCAGTGGGCAAGAGACGCGCCATCGTTAACAGCTGTTCAGTTCCAAGGTTTAGTCCAGTCTTGTATTAACATAAACCGTCCATTTATTTTTACAATACTAATCTTGACCGTACACGTGTAATTAGTTGTTGGAAAAATAGCCCCCCACACATTTTGCAATTATTTCAAGTTCTCCCCTAATTCCTTGATATTACAATCTACACTGAGCTAAGTAGTAAAGTACACACTTGTGGAAAACCTATGGAGCTTATGTTTACCGGTCTTAATGAGGAACGTTTTACACATGTGATAAGCGTGAGGAAGAAGGGCAAATTTGGCTAACTGCCAGTCTGCTACAAATGCAACATTTGAAAACTTGAACAACTCTGATAATGTGTTTGAAGATTTTACTGAATTTTATTCATGTTTTCTTGACCCAAAGCGATTACAAGAGTTCAGTATTTATACTCAAGAGTGAAATATGAAAGCCCTAGGACAGATGGCGTAATCTCAACCACTTCCGACATCAAGGGCTGAGAACCGATTGGACAGCTTCAAGCCATTAATCNATTCATGTTTTCTTGACCCAAAGCGATTACAAGAGTTCAGTATTTATACTCAAGAGTGAAATATGAAAGCCCTAGGACAGATGGCGTAATCTCAACCACTTCCGACATCAAGGGCTGAGAACCGATTGGACAGCTTCAAGCCATTAATCTCTTCAGTACAAGCTTTCGTCATCTTCTCCTTTTGTACTTTGCTTTTCAGGACCTTATCATCATACCGTTGAGCGGTTCTTTCAAACTCCTGTGCTGGCTTGACTCTGGGCTTCTCATTCTGCGCTTTGGGTTTCTCCTGATCTCGGCTCATCTTCTGCTTCCCTTTCAGATCAGCTACAGATACGCTGCCGTTTGATGCTCTGTTCTCAATATGCCCCCTCAAACTTGGTGTGTTCTTTGTGTCAACACCAAGTTTGTAACGAAGAGAATCAAAGGCCTTGTAGATAAGAGGCTTGGTAAATATATCTGCTAGCTGAAGACTTGCTGGAACATGCTTCACAACTAGCATACCAAGAGCAACTCTTTCCCTCACATAATGATAGTCTAACTCAAAATGTTTGGTTCGCTTATGATACGCGGGATTTGCAGTCAAGTGCACTGCAGAAAGATTGTCACAATAAAGCTCGGGAGTAGCACGGATAGGTACACCAATTTCACGAAGTATGGAACACATCCAGCTCAGCTCAGATGCTGTCTCAGAGAGAGAGCGATACTCAGCTTCTGTTGAGATCCTAGAGACAGTTGGTTGCTTCTTTGAAGACCAAGAGATGATGTTTGAACCCAAATACGTACAGAAGCCACCGGTTGACCTTCTAGTATGATGACATCCTGCCCAATCACTATCACTATAAGCTCTCAGAGTAAAATCAGTGTCTTTGCTGAGATTGATCCCAAACTTTAAGGTCCCTTTGACATAGCGAAGAATTCGCTTGAGCAACAAGAAATCTGACATGGTGGGTTCATGCATCTTCTGACACACATAGTTGACAGAAAACTGAAGGTCTGGTCTCGTAAGAGTAAGATACTGAAGTTTCCCAGCCAAACTCCTGAAGTACCTCGGGTTATCAAATTTCTGATCTTGATGAGGAATTTTACTCAACTGCAGAGGCAGTGGCGTTCCTATTGAAGAGCAATCAGACATCCCTGCAACTGCTAAAAGGTCAGTAGCGTACCTTTCTTGAGAGAGGAACAATCCATTCTTGTGAAACTCTGCCTGAATTCCCAGAAAATAATGCATCCGACCAAGATCCTTCATGCGAAATGTCTTGTGGAGCTCTTTTAGTAACTCTGCCAAGACTTCAGAGTTGTTTCCAGTAATAAGCATATCGTCCACATATAATAGGAGAAGAATGACATTCTTGCCTTGAGTGTATATGAAAAGCGAAGGATCTTTGATGCTGCATTTGAACCCAAACTCAAGTAAAAATTTACTGAATTTATCAAACCAAGCGCGGGGTGATTGTTTTAGACCATATAATGCTCGATGAAGCAAGCAAACATGGTCTGGACACTTCTTATCTACAAAACCAGCAGGTTGTCTCATGTAGACAGTTTCAGTGAGGTCTCCGTGCAGAAACGCATTTGCTACATCCATTTGCTTGATGTCCCACTGGAAAACTGTAGCAATGTGTAGTACAAGCCTCACTGTTGCCGTTCTCACTACTGGACTATAGGTTTCCAGATAGTCAACACCTTCCTCTTGACCACATCCTTGAGCTACCAAACGTGACCGTAAGGATTTCACAGAGCCATCAGCATTATATTTTGTTCTGTGTATCCACCTGTTGCCAAGAACATGCATACCAGGTGCATATGGAACCAGAGACCATGTCTTTGTTGCATCACAGTTTGTAATTTCTTCTGTCATTGCATTATACCATCCTGGATGCTTCAAAGCTTCAGCTAGTGTGCGCGGTTCAGGACTAGCTACCTTATGAGATAGCAAAGCATATCGAGGATTTGGTTTCACAATGCCAGCTTTCAGTCTTGTTGTCATGGGATGTTGATTTGCTGAGACTTGTGACATCATCGGACTTGAGCTAGAATGTGCTGATCTAGTTGTCACAGGACTTGAACTAGTTCCTGAAGATGATCCTTGTGACGCATATCTGATAGGAGACTCAGAATGCTGTGGTGAAGCAACTCCTTGAGTAGACCGCTGAAGAGTAGGAAACTCTTGTGGTCTGTACAGACAAACATTTTGGGATGCTGATACCAATCCTTGAGGCGTAACTGAACCATGATCTTCTTGAGACACTCGATCAGAGACCCCAGAAAACACTCCTTTGTACCACGCTGAGAGCAGTGGTGTTGTTGCAGCAGGATGCAAATTCTTATACTCATCAGCGAATGGGAACTTTGATTCATCGAATATCACATGGCGACTGATATATACTCTTCCAGTTGGTGGAAACAAGCATCTGTAGCCATTATATTTCTCACTATATCCGAGAAACACACATTTCAGAGATCTAGGATCAAGTTTATTCTGAGTGTAAGGTCTCAACATCGGAAAACAAGAACACCCGAACACTCTCAGTGCTCCATACAGAGGTCTTCTCTTATATAAATTATCGTAAGGACTTTGTGCATCTGGTAAGGCTGTGTGTGGGAGTAGATTGATCAGAACATTTGCAGTCACCAATGCTTCTACCCAGTACTTCTGAGGAGCTTTACTCTGAAACAGAAGTGACAGTCCAAGCTCCACAACATGCCGATGCTTTCTTTCTGCCAAACCGTTTTGTTGCGGTGTGTGGGGGCAAGAAAGAAGTTGTTTTATCCCACATTGTTGTAAGTGAATAAGAAACTGATTACTTATAAATTCACCACCTCCATCACATTGAAAAGTACCAATATTTGTAGAGAATTGATTCTGAACTAGCGATTGAAAGGCAAGAAAAACTGAGTAGAAATCAGACTTCTTCGTCATAGGATACAACCAACAATACCGAGAGAAGTTATCTATCAACACTACATAATATTGAAAACCTTGGACTGACACTACAGGTGAAGGCCCCCAGACGTCACAATGCACCCTTTCTAGTGGTCTTGATGTAGTTGACTCCGATGCTGAGAAAGGAAGTCTCGAACTCTTGGCCAACTGACAAGATTCACACATCTTATTGGACCTTTTATTGATAAAGATAGACTTGACTGCAGACAACTGTTGTAGAACATGCGGGTTAGGATGCCCCAACCTTTGATGCCAGACTTCATCACTGGCAGAGACCTGTCTAGATGTGAAGAAAGCATGAAAGGCTGGCTGCTTCAGAGAATATAAGCCCTTAGTGTTTCTTCCCCGCAACAGAACCTTCTTGGTTGCCTTATCATACACGCATACATTATCAGCATCAAAATCAAAACCACAGTGATAATCCTTGGTGAACTTACTCACTGAAAGTAAAGATTTAGCAATGTCAGGACATACCAACACATCTTTAAAAAGTATCTTACCTGAGGAGGAAGCAATACTCGCTGATCCAGTATGAGTGATTGGCAAGAAATCGCCATTACCAACCATCACCGTATCAGCTCCTGTGTAGGCTTGAGCTTGCTGAAGATGATATGGAGAGTTCGTGATGTGAGCAGATGCTTCAGTGTCTGGGAACCACTCTCCTCCACTGGACTCTGAGCCGTCTGATACACGCATAGCTGCCAACGCATTATGCAGCTCATCCATTTGATTGTTGTTATTGTACCTGAACCAGCAATTCACAGCAGAATGTCCTGGCTTTCCACATATTTGGCAGACTGGTCTGCTTTCGGCATCAGATGAAACAGAAGACCTTGAAGACGAGGCTGATGAGATATGTTGGGGAAAACCACGCCCTCTTGTAGAGAAATAGTTCCTGCCTCCTCTGTTACGTCCTCTGTTTCTTGAGTAGAAGTTTCTTCCTCTTGTTGTGTTGAAAGCAAGATGTGGAGATGTTCCAGGACTATCCACATAGCTCTTCAGCCTATCATCAAACGCTGTAAGTCTAGGGACAATATCTTCATACTTTGGTGAGTACTCGGTGTCGATAGAACCTTCTATACTCGTCTTGATAGGTTCATAGTCTTTACCAAGACCAAGCAA